AGGAGATAGACTAAATTCTTAAAAGAAGCTATTATTTATACCAGCCCAATAATATTATAATTTCTTTAAATGAAACTATTTATTCTAATAATATTTAATAATTTCCATAACTTATACTAATGTGGAACCCCTCAATATCAACAAGAACCATCTAGAATTAATTCCTAAAGAAGAGAAGGTACAATGAGACCAAGACATGCAACTTCCGAGCCAAACCCACATTCATCTCTCCGAGTTCCACTAAGACCCCGGCAATTCGTGCATGAGATGAAACTCAATGCTTCAACATGTTTTTCACCCTCATCAAACTATCAAGTCTGTATGAAACCCCATTTCATGAGTTGGGTATAACTGGGTTAATTAATAGACCGCTAATAATTGTTTTAATCGTGTGGTTGTAGGTTCAAGTATCCTAGCAGCAAGTAGCAGCAAGCAAGCAATGGAAGGTCAAAATTGGAGCCACCACCGGAGCAATCACCTCTCCCTGTCAATTGAGGAACAATCAAGCAAAGCCGTTCAATCAATCCTCCGCACTGTTTACAACTGCTGCAGCATCATCAAGGATTCCCACAGCAATAACTACCCGACCCCAAAATGGCTACACCAGAAAAATTGATTTTACTCTCTGATGAACCCTCTGGACGCCCAACTTTTTGTTTTTTTGTTTTGTTAAATCTATGTATACAAGGCCTTTGAGTTTGTAAGTATGTAAGATTAATGCTTTGAGCTTAAAAATTTCTTTCGTTTGTTGTTTCTAAAAACCGTATCATATGTATTATTATTTAGGGCTGCCTTCTTAATTTATTATTACAATCAATAGGTCCCTTGTTCATATTAACATCTAAAATAATAAAAAATTAAAAAGGGATATCACGGCGTTTTAAGAAATCCACCTAAAACTCTAAGTAACGGTAAGTTTTTTAAAAAAGGATATGCGGCTGTTTTGAAAAAACGTCGTTAAATGACAGGTGACATCATAGTACCTTTGTTGGATATTTGGCGGCGTTTTTAAAAATGCCACTATAGTCATATAAACGACGTTTTTTAAACGTCATACAAGCTATAGCGACGGCCGCAGCATCGGCGTTATATTAAAGTCAACAAAAAGAATAACGCGTTTGTTGTACCTATTAAGGTGTTTTTTAAACGTCGCTAAAAGCAGATTTTCCAGCAGTGTATTAATCACACTTAAAAGGTGTGATCTAAATGTTATTAATTCAACTTTAAAAGTGTGATTAAAATGAATCATTTTTAATCACACTTTCAAAGACACAACTTAAAGGTGGTGATCTAATTGCTAAATTTATCACACTTAAAAAGTGTGATTAAAAAATACCCTTTTTAAACACACTTTCAAAGAGTCACACTTAAAAAGTGTGATCTTAATATTTTAAATTCAACAACTTAAAATGTGTTGATCTAAATGTTTTTAATCACACTTAAAAAAGGTGTGATCTAAACGTTATTAAAGTACACTTAAAAAGGTGTGATTAAAGATGAACCATTTTTAAATTCACACTCCAAAGATCACACTTTAATAATAACTTAAAGGTGTGATTAAATACATACATCACATCCAAAAAAGTGTGAATCTTTATATGTTTTCTGTTGTAGTGATTCATTCCTATATAGACGACTCTATAAAGCACATAACAAACAAGTGAAGGATGCCAAAACACCCTATGTGGGGTAGGGTTTCCCTGTCATATTTGTCCCAGGAGCTAGGGTTCACTAACGCACACCAGCGGTTTCAAAAACAACCTAATGATCGGGTAAGCAACCTGTCCTTAATTTTGGATGGTCACTATGGATTCCGAATAATGCACTAGTCGAATGGTCAAAAAGGGTGCCTTGGAAACTGGGTTTGTTGTTCCCACTACTGTTAGAGCCCATGAACCGGTCAGCCTATGGCATCCTTGACAAGACAAGCCTCTGGCAACCGTTCAGGAATGGCAGATGGCAAAACGGTGTCCTATGGCGGCACCAATGCCATGCAATGCAAAAGAAACACATAGTCCAGTCAAAAACAAGATATCATGAGTTCGAGTCAATTCTCTATTAATCTCCCGCAGAGTCGCCAGAAACTGTAAGACGCGCCCCTTTGGCCTTACACAATTCAGGACTCAATTTGGTCACGGTTTTCTTAATCTGAACCAAAAGAGTCCAAATCTGGCACAAATCATTTTGAAGAAAACAGATTTTAGAAAAAGAATGTGCCAAACTGGGAACTGCTTTTTTCAGATACAGAGTCGCCACCGTAAAATTTTTAATGGGGGAATTAGGCAAACCCTGACTCGGATCCAAAAGGCCACGTGTCTCTCACAAAGTTGCCTCGCTCGGAACTTGGGTACGATTGTGGAAGGTACTGTCGTGAGCACCCCGCTTCGCCCGATTCAAAGATCGCCTCTAACTAACCGGATATCTAGTTTTGAAAACATATGTACTCTTATCTGGTTATTAGCCTAGATATTACTATGTGAGCGCACAACCATACAAGTTAGACTGGGCATCTGAATTGGACAAAAATTCATGTTTGTTTGTTTGAAAGATGGTTTGGATGGTGCTTGTAACCCAGAAGTAGCTAAGACGTAGATATTGCCACCTCGGTGTGGCTTAAGAAAATATGGTTTGGCCACTATCTAGTGGCCTTAAACATCACAGTTGATGATTTGTTTCCAACCAAATAACCCAACCTTCACCCACAGGCATTCAGGCAGTTATGTCACATAAGCAATTAGCCTCAGGTACAGCATGCTATCATGGCAGATCACTCACAACAACAATGGAAGGATGCTAAAAGCTAAAACTTACCGGACGTCCAAGCCAAAACAGAAGCCTAGGTTAAGAAAATCCATGCATGATCCTAACTATACGAAATGCCTATGCATACACATCAAAATGCAACTATTGCAGGCCTCGCTATCTAAAGATGGGCATATGAAATGCTATTCAGTTAACATGTATTCACCTTGGAATTGAAAATACAATTGCAGTTATATGATCGCCGAGCCAGTGGCATGCATAACAGATTGAATGAATGCAAACTTTATCATCCTTTAGCTACATTGAAACATCCCAATCTAAACCATCATAAGCTGGTAATAAGCAGGGAGAAAGGCGTAGGGATTGGAAGACCCATAACATAACACACACACGCACACATTATTACAATATTGCCTCTCGCTCCGGAGGGTCCGAATAAATATTACAGTCCAAATGAATAATACTAAATTTAAATTGTTTACACGAACTTCTAATTTAATTAACAAAATTAAATGCAGAAAGGCCGCAACACCTCTTCGGAATGCGCAGATGATAGCATGCTCCGAATCCAACTTGCCTGGAAACCCGTACCATGCCACTGTTGCCTCTGTTTACGCTGCCTCACCCTTTTTGAAAAATTATGGAAGTCCTCCAGAACGGATTTAACTTCCTCCTGAGTGCTCTGGGATGTCACCGGCCAGAACAGGAGACCAACCGGCCATGGGAATGGGGCTTATCGGCTTAAAGATGTGCCACTTGGCTGGACTTTTGGTGGCTCGGTCAGCACTTTTATGTGCCGGATCGGCCATTGTTTCCTTTGTAGAATCCTGTAGTTGTACAGCAGCACGAGGGCAAGCAGTGTATGGTATTGGAATTTTCAAAGCAATGTGTGCATGGCCAGTCTCCCAATCATGTAATGGACTACAAGGGATGTGCGGCCCTCGACCCTCGGGCCATCAATCACGCATTTTAATGCATGAGACCCAAAAGTCAAGTGTGCAACTTTCAATATCAAATGAAATGCAAGCACAAAACACATCAAGGGCCTCGACCCTATCATGATTGATAATAGAGGCAAGGGATGCATGCTCAATGAAATCCGACTTAGGCATGGAGGCTAATTATGCATACATGAACATGCAAATGAGCATTGTATATCTAGGCAACAACCTAAACATGTAAGCAAAACATGGCAGCAACATAACATGCGAATGATGGACTTAAACTAACATGGATAGCTCGCAAGCATGCCAAAATCAGTGGCCATTAGATGAAAATGAAACACTTCGAAATGCGTGCACACATGCACCAAACCGAGACCAAACCTAAGGCCATCAAATTGCCACTCTAGCAAGGCAATGGCAAGGCATGAAATATGGCATACAAGCATGTAATTTCCAGCACTAAAATGTGATGCAAAATGGTCCCGAAACACAAAAACTAGGCACATGCAATTGACCTATAGCTCTACAAGCAGCATTATTTGATCATGAAGCATGAAGACAGAACCAAGGCAGTCCAAAACATGAACATTTCTAGTTCAAAGAGCATGGCCAAAAGATGCTAGCAAGATGGACTAAAGTAGCATGCAACTTTGACTGGCAAACATGATTTATTATGGAAAGTATAGGAATGCCGATGGAATCTTACCAAACCAACAAAAATCAGTGAATAAAACATGTGAAA